TTAGTGAAAGAAGTTTTAAGTATGTATTTAGGGACTTATAAAAATTCTTTTTTTAAATATAAACAACAAAAGGATGATTAGAGTGTTGATTTTGGAAAGTTATAGAAGGATTAAGGGACCAGATGGATTTGAAATAAGATTTTGAAATTAGTTATAAAAATCCTTTCCATGAGGAAATGTTGTAGTAATGTTACTAAAATTTATTATATTTGAAGGGGGAAGTGATTATTTTTTTAAAATTTATCTATTATACTTTTTGTTTCTACACTTTCTATTTTCTATTTTCTAATTATTTTTTAGTTTGTATTAGCATTTATCATTATAAATGTAATTAAATTAAATTATTGTAGCTTAATAAACTTATTATTAAAAAAGAGTAAAAAATGATAGAACTAAATCATAATCTAAGGGGTAAATATCTTACTGTAAACTTTTTCATAACTATTGAACCCTGGACACTGAATCCTCTACAAAGAAACATCAACATTTACATGCTGGGATATTCTTTTTAATCATTATCTGTTACCTTTAAAGATAGTGAACTATCTTTAAAAGGAATCTTATTTAATCATTAAGTTTTATCTGTCATAGATCCATTTAAACAAAAATAAAAATGATTTCTAACCCATATGAGAATAAGACATTATTGTAAAAACCCTATATTATTATTTTCTGAAACAAAAGATTTAATCCCCATATAGACTTAAGGTATTCTACCTGCAAGCTCTGGGAATAAGCATCACAAGATTTAATTGAACTTCTTTCATTCATTTAATTTGTAGACCTGAGCTATTTGTGAGTTATATTTGTCTAATACAGCCAGGTGGGAAGTTTGAAATTTTGGAATTAAGTCTGCATTTTAGATAAAAGTTTAAAAATTAAAAGGATATCCTGTGGATTGCAAATACGCTATTATTTTTTGGACACTATTTCAGTATCTCTCACAATCACAGAAGACTAGTATCTTTAAATATTAAAAATCTTTAAGAACATGCATTTAGCTTTTCCCCCCTAGATATAAGCATGTTGGAATGAATAGTTTGGGGCTGCTAGTTTTAGGCTACATAAATCCAGGTGATCACTAGATAGTGCCAAAAAAATACAGAAAACTCTTTTCTGTCATTTTAGCAATTGTGCAGTTTATGTCTTGCCTGGATCTGGTAGCCCCCAAATAATGAAGAGTTGTTGTCATATCCTTTTAATAGCTGCCTTTATAACTCAAGTTTTATTCATCACAAACTAGGGCTGTTGAATAAAAAAATGAAAGTTTATGAAGCTGATGGCTGATCTCAGTATGTATCTGCGAATTGTATTCAGTTGAATGGGTCAATATTTGTACAAGCTTAGCCTCACAGTGGAGAGAAAAATAAAATAGTTTTAATTTTTTCCCCCATATTTTAATCACAGCAACAATAACAAGCATGTACAAACCAATTTCACAAAGTTGTTTCACAGAGTTTAATCTATAATTTATACCAAAAAGTTGTCATTCATTAATGGACGCTGTAGTGGGTGGCCAGTTCTATGGATTTTAGGTTATGTATTGATCTTATAATTGTATTAGTTATATTGTAGTCTGCTGAGAACCTTTTCGGAGTTTGACACTATATAGAGTAAATAAGTATGTTTGAGTGTAGAAATATTTTACATCCCATATCATAGTATTATTATAATTTTTCTTCCATTCAATTTATTTCCCCTTCTCCACTGGGAACCCCCCCACCCCCCCACCCACCCCACAATATGTGCTTATTCACCTAAACAGAAGTCAGAGTCTTATTAAACAAACAAAAATGACAACTACACAGAACAATATTCCTGAATAACACAAGCTTAATGAATACTGCATATATTTCTAAACACATCCTGTTTTTCCAATGATTCCCTTATCAAAATCAAGCATTAAAATGTAAATAAAAATCCAGAGGTTGTTGCTGTTCCCTTTAACATATGATGTCAAATGAATGCTAAATGTATTGGACTTCATAAGGCTTTAAAAAATGTTGACTACTGAATAAGTAGTCAGGTAAAAGTAAGTACTTTCTACCATAGGCTGAGGAATTCATCTCATTTGTAGATGCAAAGTATTTAGTTATAAAACATAATAGGATTTGGGATTTTACTTAAATACAAAGTATCAGCAATGGCAACCTAAACAACCAAGTAAAGGAAAGTGAAGGTTCAGGCAGATATATTTATCAATATATATCAGAAGTGAGAAACAAGATTTTCTTAACAATGTCAATAAAAACAAGAAGAATAGTAACAAAACCTTTTTGGTCACTGGCAGCTATAATACACTAGACAGACATTTTTAAGTGGAGTAACCTACAGTGGCTAAGCTAGTTATCCTACCTGAACTTTATGGTCGTAACATGGATGACTGATAAATTTCCCCTAGGGAAATTTTAATTACTTAATTCAGTAAGTTTGCTTTGAGAGAACTGCATATTTCTTAATAGATATACAGAGCTATAGGCACAATGACATCAGATCATCTGGTATAATTTGCCATTCTGAGATTCATTGCTAATTTAAACATCCATAACAAATGTATATTGGATCTGAGACAAAAAAAATCTTCTAATGGCTGACATCCTACTTCCCTTGGTAGGGAATTCCACATCCCAATATCCCTCATTACTTAGTCCAATACAGTCTAAGACTATGCTGTAGTAAGTTAATGTATTCTGCGTCCTCTTAAAGACAATTTGGGTTGATAGGAATTCAAAGAAGAAGCTGATAAGCTGCGTTTTACAAACCACTATGAACTTAATTTCCTGCCAATGCACAAAGGATGGCTGTCATCAAATAAAAAAATCGCTTCTTAATTTTCTTTAATAAAAATGCCATTCAGCATGATAATAATCTTGCATTTAGTAACCATAAACATGCTACTACTACCATTCATAATTCTTCCTTTGGAAGTATGTGAAGGTTAGGATGAATACTACTTTTCAATGACCAATTAGTATTTATTTCCAGAAAATTATAAAGTAAAAAGTTATTTGAGGATATATCCCACCAAATAAATATTATAATTTGGTAAAATGTCTGTTCTTTGATATCGCCTACTTTATATTCTATATTGCTTAATACATACAAGGTGCTCAAGTTTTGAGAAGAATGTGTGAAATAACTATTAGTAACAATTCTAAGAATTTTATCTCCTTGTATAGTTATATATTTAGCAGTACTTCAAAGTTCTTTTGCTGTGAGGAATCTTTTAAGGATTGAAAATGCTGTGTTGATTTAGAAAGTAATTCTGTGAATCACTTAAAAGGCTAAACAAATAATTTCAATGAAACATTTACATTCATGAACTCATTCATGAACTTATTGCCCAGAATAAGGGAGCAACCAACTTTTGTCACCAATATGTACAAGAAACCACTCATAATGCTAATTTCTGCTATAGGTCTAGCAATATCTCTTGATTATGGTCATGTTCCAGAGCCTCACATAATGAGATGTGAAGGTAGTCCACCTGGTGCATGGAAAAACTAGCTTTAGAATGTGATGATTAAATAATGCTGTTGCTTCACGAGAATATGCGCAAGCTACTTTTCACTAGAGTGTTTTTTTATATTCAGCACAATATTATCTATTCTGACTGGTAGATGCTCTCTGGAATCTGAAGAAGAGAAATGTTTTTGCAATCACTTGCTATTTCTTACAACTGGGATTAGAGGTATCAGGAACTTGTATTTATGTAGCATATATTTTACTACAGCTTCTGTATCATGTGGCTATTCAACCACAAAGTCCAGTACTGTATATTATTCAACACACTGACTATTATTTAAAGCATTATGATTTTTTATATAAGAGAAATGAATGCATTTAGCCACTACTCCTTCAAAGAAAGAAATGTTGCCCAGACCAAACCCTTATTAATGATTTTTAAACAAAGCTTGCTCTTTGAAGTGCTTGTGTTAGAAACAAGAAATGATATGTGTCCTTATGGAAAATCCTTTAAAAAGGTACTGCTACTTCAGGATCTGTTCATCCATGGTACTATAACAGAAACATGAAGAATAGCTTCAAACAGCATAACAAGAAAGGAGATTTTCTAAGGACAATTGCATAGAACAGAATTCTCCTTAGATAAAGCATGAGTAGGAGAAAGGGCAGTCAGAAACAATAAGAACTAAACTAAGTATACAATTAATATACATTCTACTACATCACCAATAGTTGAGGGTCAATATGCATTTAGACAAGCAGAAAGAGGCTTACATGTCACACAGGCAAGTATCCATGGCTAAATACTGTTTGAGACAAATAAAAGAACCATCACTATATTGCCATTGTGGCTAAACTGAATCCTCTATGCTTCAATTCAGAGAAAAGGATTTTTGGCAGATGTACCTCTTATTAGTCCTGCTATTCTGAATAATCATAATTTGAACCTACTAGAGCTGTTTTCAAGGAAAATTATAGGTCATTCACAGAGCTGAGTGGAAGCTCTCAAATGGGAGAGAAAGTCATGGAAAGAAAGAGGATTTCCAACCTCCTAGTTGCATCTGGCTCCACTTTTGCCTCCTGGTGAGGAATTTCTAAAAGTAAATAAAAACACTGTTCTCACAACATGCTTTTAATGGACAGCTGTCTTTGCAGGACATCTGCTACCCTTAGGATTGCCACATACCCTGCTATATCTGATCATCAAAGTTTAACTCAGAGCGTCAGCGAAGTTGCTGGAGCCAACCCAGTAACACATTCTCCTGGATGCGAAGTGCAGAAAGGTGTTTCTATGGTGCAGAGTTGAAAAGGTTGACACAAACAACGTCGGAAAAGAGGCGGTCACGGAAAGAAAGGAGAAGGGAAGGAAGGAAGAAAGAGAGAGAGAAGGAAGGAAGGAAGGAAGGAAGGAAAGAAAGAAAGAAAGAAAGAAAGAAAGAAAGAAAGAAAGAAAGAA